CAGGCTTTGGGTGGAATCCCAACAGGAGAATGAAACCAGAAATATTCCGCTCAAAACAAAGGTGCCAGCTCTTCTGGCCTGTCGATCTCTGGTATATAAGGCTGGGCCCACTCACAGCGACTTTGGAAGCCTCACCTATGGGTGGAGGCACCGCGTAGGATTTCCCACTTGCCGGGACAGGCTCTGCAAACCCTCTCTGTAACCGGGGCTGCCCAGCCACTGCGGGTCTGGGTGATGGTAATATATGCAAGAGGTCATGTATTTTTCTTAATCTCTATTCTCTCTCTCATGTAGTAATGATTTGATGCATTACCCTGTATTTTCCTCTTTGCTGCTTTAAGTGCACTATTGTGCCTTTTCTTGCTGCATGTTTTCTGTGTTACACTGTTGATCTGAGGAAAGCAAAGAAAAAAAAGAAAAAAAAATATCAACAAAGTTGTGGGGCCCCTTAAAAAACGCTAGCCCTCGGGCAATGTTAATTAGATAACATTCTAACAGAAAACAGGATGGTAAACTAATCCCTGTCTCTGAGATAAAGGGGGAGCCATACCAGCTAAAGGACTTACTTCCTGGGACATCTTGTTAGACACAAAAGTTCCAATTAACAAAACAAACAGGTAAAAAGCTGACTCTACAACCTGGAGAGGAACCAAAGGGCCAGAGAGCATGCTCAGGAAGCAAAGTTGAAACTCTCATGAAGAGGAAGGAGACATCTGGACTTTGCTGAACAGCAGGACACCGTGAAGAGGACCACATAATTATTCAAGGGGAGAAGTATAATAATCACACCTATTCCCCGAACTAATTGTAATAACCCAGCCCTTCCTAATGAATATGTATGTTTGTTGTAATAAATATCTGGCTACTTGTCAGAGACGGTGTGCAAGCTTTGTGGAGAAATCCCCTCGCACCCTGGCCGGAATAAACATGTCTGCTTTATAACTGAGTTGTAGAGTTTGTTTCTGCCCCTCACTGTTACATTGGTTATCACCAGTAAAATACTCCTACTCTTTTCACTCTGGTGTCTGGGTTTAATTGGTATCCTTAATCAGCAGAACAGCCTGATGAGACAGATCCACCAGCTCCCTGCTCCTCTGGTTTATTTCAAATCAATGCTTTGGTACATTCACCCAGGCCTACAAGGGGAGGCACCTGCACGTCAGCATTCTCACATTATGTTCCTGGGTTTGCTACTGCAATATTCAACACTATGACAGACCCCTTCCTCCATGCTTCGGTCTTACCCCCCTTTTATTTTTGGTTGTTTTGTTTGTTGGGTTGTTGCTTGTTTGCTTTGTCATACCCTCACTGTTCTACAAATAAAATACTGAGAGCTACTGAGGTTTCCTTATGGCCGATCATCTCTCTCCTACACCCACAGACATTACACTGTCCCAAAAGTGCAGGAAGACACTATGAATTAATTCAGTGCACCCACTCGCTTCCCCGGTTTATAGCAAGAAATTGGGAGTGGTGGGGCATGTTAATTAAAAGGCTATGGCAAATGGAAATCACTACCGTCCCCAGTGTTTTACTGACTTTTCCTAAATTACTATAAAACTAGTGGGTTTTTTCCTTGTTTGCTTATGACTTCTAGGACAGTTTCCCCTAGTAGTATGTATTGTTTTTCTTAAATGAAGACAATTTTTCTTTTAATGATAGAACCAAGTATTAGTTTTCTTACTGTATAAAATACATAATTTTATTAACATAAATATATAACATAACTATTCATGGTCTAGAACCATTATTACAGAGACAGTAAAAATATCAGTGCCAAAGAAAACTCAGTAAGGTTCATTAAGTATTTTTCTTCTGTATTTTGTGAGAAGGATGATGTACTTCAATTGTGAAAATATCATTATTTTCCAGTCCCTTCATGATTGGAAAATGTTCAATATGTATTGTTATTTTTTCAATATACCTATCTGTCCTCTAAAAAAAAAAAAATCTCGTTTCCCAGTATAAAAATTTACCAAATTTTGGAATACCAAAGGAATTCCAGAAGCTTCAAGCAGTGTTAATACTATGTAGCATTCAGAAATGTCAAGTGAAATAGGCCATGTGACAAAGATACCAATCTACAGTCTCTGTTACAAATCTATCTAAAGTATTCCATTCCTAAGCAAAATAGTAGAAAAGCTGGTGAAGGAATAAGTTATTAATAAATTAAAGGACAGATTAAATGACAATAGGAAGACAATCTGAATCCTGACTATTCAATCTATTCAGTTATTTTTACTTTTTTAAAAATGTAGAATGACACCTTTGTAAGTCATGTGACTATCATGGCAACGAAATATAGGCTGATGCATTAGTAAACAGTGCACCTGTTGGGGGAAAACAACTTGTTAAGCTAAAGCACAGCTTCGGAAGTAGACATCAGTCAGGACTTGTGAGCCAGTTACAATGCTTTTAGTGAGAACCTGCAGAAGCCGTTCACTATCATGGCTACTAAATATTTTAGCAATCTGCAAGTTGAATCACCCTACCCCCCTATATTAAGCTGGCTCTAGCAGTCATTAGGACCTGCCTGTGGACTATTCTAATTAATGATCTGGCATAAAATTAATGTAGGTTGGGGTTTGGTTTTTTTTAACTAAACCTTAAAAGTAACAGAGCAATGGATTGCTGTCTGCTGGCTTAGCGAGATGTCCTGGTTCAACGAGGGTTCTGGTGAACACCAGAAAAGGGTGGGGGAAGTGAAACTTCAGGTTTTCTGGAGTTGTCAACTGTTAGATCAGCTCATCCACCTGATTTGACTTCACCCTGAAGATTAAGAACTCATAAAATACAGGACACACAATCTGGTATCTCAGCAAAAGGTTTTGAAATCAGAGCAGACAAGCACCACATCATAGGAATTAGAAAGGTGCCACTACCCTGACACCACAATTTACCATCACACAAAGGGTCCAGTTAGGAAAGCTTTTCTCACTCCCAAAATGACATCACTGCAAAAACTGAATACAACAGAGAACGTAGAAGTGGGGAAACAGAGAGCTACAGGTAAAAAGATTTTCTTTTTGTTGGTAGCCATTGATAATTCAGGTGTTCTAAATGTAATTATCTAAAATGTCACTGTTAGAACATGACAAAAAATTAGAAGAGAGCCTCAAAACAGAATGAACAGCTTACACCTCTTCACCCGCATGTGTTCACATACAGAATTTATTTGTATTCCTGTTTTGTTTGTCTTAGAAAAAGTATCAGGATTTTACCTTATGCATTTTCACCTAGCTTCCTCAACACCAGCTCAAGTTGCCAACACTAGGTACTCAAACTGACACAAAGGCACATGCGGTTCTGCTACAACTCCAAGTCCTTCAGTTGAGTATCAGAGCTGTGACTGACTACACCACAGTTTTTAAGCCTGATTATCACACTGATAACACTGCCAGTTCTGTAAACATTATTTCAAATTCACTGATGTAAACACACTTCATCATTAGATTATTACATCAGAGCATAATCTAATGAGAACATTGCATTTTCTATCATTTTTCCGTATTGTTGATTTTTTAAGAGCATTGGCTAGATCATTCATATGCATTGTCATCACTGCAGGAAGAAGACAGAAAAAGGAACAGACCTATTGTTGTAAAATAGCAAAGTTTATTTTCTCAAAAGAAAAATAAAATTAGACTACAGGAATGTAACTACTTTCTCAAGCAAAAAATAAAAAGGGCTTTTTAATCTACTAGCACAAACCATGTTACCAGACACAGAATTTAATTCCTAATGAAAACAAAACAAAGAAGTCAGGCATAGATGTTCAAACACTGGTGCAACTTGCAACAGTACAACTAAAGAAGTAGTAGATTTTCCATTTCTTGCTAGCTTCAAGTCAAGACAGGATGATTAAAGCTAATATCCAGAGAAAGCTGAGCAGCTGCATTTTTCTGAAGAGATAGCTGGGCAAAATTAATCCCCGACAGTCATTGTTCTCGGAAAGATTACTTCACTAACAGAACCCCCTTTTCAGTTCAATTAGCTTCAGCAGTTATTTTGCACAAACATCACAGTGAGACCCTCAGACATCAGACTGCATTGATTATTAGTAGATTTCTGTACCACAAAACTTTCAAGGACCAGTGTTTTTCAAAGATTTATTTGGAGAAGAGAAACATCCCACCAGTTTTAGCCCTATCAGAGCGCGTACGGGTGGAACCACCTGCCTGCTCCCCCACAATTGGCCTTAACCAAGGATCCCCGGGCTACACCTCAAAACGGTTAACAGAAGTCAGGACCGAGCCTCCGCTTCGGTGAGGAAAATTACCTTGGGAAAAAAAACAAAACAGCCTCAGTCAGAGCCACTTGCCACAATGCCGATCACGCTACCGAAGGCGGACCGGACCGGACCCCGCCGACAGCCGCCACCACCACACTGCCCCAGCCCCTCTCCGATGGTTGAAAAACCGCCGCGCGACCCGCCCATGGGAAGGGGCTGAGGGCGGAGACGGCCCCGCCCGCTGATGACATCCTCCCCGGCCGCTCAGCCTTCCCGCCTGTCCTCCCCCTCCCCGCCCGCCGGTGCCCAGGGCCGGGCGGGGCCGGGCCCCGCGCAGG